TTTCTTTAGCTTTCGATGCTCTCAGGGGGTCCTGCTCCGAGAGCAGCTTCCGCTCAACCATATCCACCAGCCCGTTGAGCAGGTCGCTGTGGCTGGGCTGCCTCTCATTGTCTTTCACTTTCCGGTCCTCTACTGGAGTGGAAGTCTTTTGCTTCTTCCTCTTCCTCGCCTTCCTCTTCTTCCTTCTACCTTGTACCGGAGTGAATTCGCTCTCTTCCTCCTCTTCGGATTCGGGGCGCATATTTCTCCCGCGACACATCTCTATGCCTGTGTTTCTGAGTGGCATAGGTGCGGGGATTCCGATCTCTCTTGATGGTCCTGGAGTCGGTTTTTCCCCTTCTTTCTCCCGCTGGCTTTTAGGTCTGGAGGAGACTTCGCAGTCTCCAAACCTGACCTTTTTTGCGGGTCTCCGCCGGCACTCCGCCTCTGCCACTCTGTCGCCACCTGGAAGTTCGAGCATCCAGTTGCTCTGTGGGCCCGCTTTCCGTTCCACAGTCTGTCTTTGGAGTTCCTGCAGGTCTTGAAGGGCTTTCTGGTTTTCAGCCATTGTCCTACTGTACTCCGCACTGGCCTCCTCCATGCCCTGCTCCGCCATGGCTAGTGTTGTTGCCAACACTCCCGAGGCTACTCTCTTCTCGACCCCTTCCAGGAACTCATCGTCGATGAGGATTTCCTTTACCAGCGTTCTTGGGGAACCCAAAGCCGCCGAACGCTTTCTCGGTTATGAGTCGCTCAGCCTGCGCTTTCTCTGCCTCAAGTGTATTCACCCTTAAGGCAGTCTCCGTCGCAAGCTTCGCTAGGTCTTCTAAGATGCCCCTTATCGGGGCTTGTACGGGCATCTCCAACTCCCTGACGATATTTTCCAGCCTCACCCTGGCTCTCATCACCTCTCCCATCACGCTTCCTGCGTTCCAAGAGATCTCTCTTTTTCCCGCCAGGTGTAGAGCCTCGGAGAAGTCCTCAGCCTGTGGTCTCTTTGCCCCGGGGGCATCCTCCGGCGTCGCTGGGGACAGAGGGTTTATACTCTGAATAAATGCGCCCTCCACCTTCCCCCGGACTACCTCGGGATTACTCCCATACCTCCGGTCGCACTTGCGAGGGGTTCGCGACTTTAATTTAGATTGCCTGATTTCTTTGCATTCATCTTGCTTTTGGTAAAACGGGCTTAATGATTCCGCTTCTGTACATCTTTCTTCTACTTTTGAATTCATATCGTGCCCTATGGCGTAGGTTATTGTTTGGATCTAGAAAGTTTCGTGGGACTCCTGTCCATACCTACTTTCTAGTAAATACATGCCTTTATTAATCTCACTACAATTTGTACTCACACTTATGTCTCACTGCTGCTTCTTCGCTGGTACTTCCTCTATCTTGCATACATTGCGATCCTCTGGTAATAGAGCTCGATAACAAAATTAGAGAATCTATGGAATAGTCTTGGATCAACCAAAGCTTCCGGGGCCGGAAGATTTACCATGCCTAAGTCTCTTCTAAATTTGCTTCTTGAGCTGCTATAGTAGTCGCAGTGGTAGACCATGTGCCACACGTCCTCTGGTTCCCCGCAGGGACACAGGTTGTCCTCTGATAACTTAAAGTAGGCCAGCTTGTCTTTAAAGTTACCATGGCCAGTCAAGAACTGTGTCACGATGTGTCCTGGGCTTGCCTCTTTCGCCCAATATCTATTGGTAATATATATCTATCTAGCCAATATCTATTGGTCTCCCACTGGTACTGCCGTTCTTCTAGTAAGCAGCCGGTGATTTTGAGTTCTTCATTCTTCGAGTCATAGTCTTCCGCTCCGTAGTATTCTTCGTCGTAGACGAATTCTCCTACCTGGAACGGAATTCTGTGCCTCAAATTGTAATTGAGTGCTGCTCTTTTGATGAGTAGATCAGCCGGCAGAACTCCTGCAATTACCGGTAATGCGTCTCTTGAGACCGTTCTGTACGCCTTCACTACTCTCTACAGTGCTTGCCTCTGCACTCTATTGATTAGCTCTCTCATCCGATTGCTTAGCTTGGCATCTAGGACTGGGGCTCCATACGTTACGATGCTCTCAAATACCCCGTTGTAGAGCGTTCTCAGGTTCCGGGGCCTAAGCCCCTATCCACTTCCCGCGATTCTCAGGGCCTTTTCGAAGACGTTCCTCGCTTTTTTGATGATGTCCTCGATGTGGCGTTGTATTCTGAGACCCTCCGTGAACGTCACCCCAAGGTATTTGAACTCCTTGACCATCTGTATTTGGTTCCCCTTGAGCTGTATTCTCGGTGGTCTCTCTACATCGAAGCTGTTCTTCAACATCATCATTTTGGTCTTAGTTTGCGATATTGTCAGCTTGTTTATCTCTGCCCATTCCTGGACTTTCTGCATCGCTCTGTTACCTATTACCTCTAGTTCTCTCCTTGAATTTCCTCGCAGAATTAGGACTTGATCGTCAGCAAATTTAATCGTGCTACACCCTTCAATGTCCATAGCTTGTAGGTTGGTGTCCATGATTAGGTTCCACATCTTAGGGCCCAGTACTGATCCCTGTGGACACCCTTTTGTTACTGCCTTCCCTACAAACCTGGTTGTGCTATACATCCTGATGTGTCTTTTGGTGCTATAACTTCTGAGCAGCTGGTAAACGTTGGAGGGGCATCTACGCCTTCTCAGTTCCTTGTACAGCATTGGCCACCACAGGTGGTCGAATGCTCCCTGAATGTCTATAAATATTGCTAGGCAGTAGTGCTCTTCTTGCTCCTCGTGTACCAGGGAACCTTCTTGATGCGTGTGTACTTGCTTATGGGCATTGCCTCTGAGGCAGCCTTCAATATTGCGTTTTGAAGAGACCGTACTTTTTTAACCAACTCTGTGGGGTTTCTGACTTCCTCTGGAAGTCTGCTCACTTCCCTCTGTAGGGTGTTCCTGTACGTGTCCCAGTCCGCTTTCTTGATGTTGAATCTCGGAGTTTCTCTCATTACTCCTTGTATCGTTTCGCTCCTTAATTCAACCTCAATTAAGACGTGCTGACTGGAGCATACGTCTTTCCGGGTTGTCCATCCTTTAACCTGGCCTTTCAGCTGGTTGCTCACTAATGTAACGTCAATAGAGGTGGCTGTCTTAGCTGTACAGAATGTTGCAGCTGCTCTATCATTCAGCACACTGAGGTTGTTCCTGTCAATCACGCTCTCGACCTCCATCCCTCTCTCGTCTGCCTGTGGAATTGTACTCCAGTAGGGGGACTTGGCGTTTGCGTCTGTAGCAAACAGTATACGTTCTCCACGCAGTGAGTCACATATCTGCTGCATTCGGTCTACGAATCTGTTGATCGGCAAGTTAAACCTCATATACATGGTTACCATGTATATTCTCATGTTTCCTTTGCTGACTTCGACAACTACAGTGTACTGGTCTGACAGTTGAGCGTGCTTTAGCATCGTGTACTCCTTCGAACAACTTACTATTGCGGCCCATGGTTCCTGGCCTTCGCTGTTGGCCTGGATAATGGTCCATCCGCCGAAACCATGGATTCTGGAATTCCTAGAGTATGGCTCTTGCAGTAGCATAAAGTCCACTCTATTTCCAGCAGCTTCTCTCATGATCTCATCGGTGACTGTTCTCGACCTATCACAGTTAACCTGCCATATCCTGATCCCTTGTGTGATGGCCTTATTTATCGCCATAATCGGTGTTGTTTACCAACATCCTCTCGTTGGCTTTCGCCACCGGACATTCTCTGTCATAGGTGTGATGGTTGTCATCCTTCCTGTACAACCTGCAGTTCGCGCATCTAGGAGGCTTCTTCTGCTCCTTTGCCTTGCATGCCTTCACCTCATGACCCTCCTCGCTGCAGTGGCTGCATGTGTTGGCGGCCTTGGTGCACCTCGACATAGTATGTCCAAATGCTAGGCATTTGTAACAACGTACTAGGCCGATGTACTCCTTGACCTTGCAGCTTCTTAGCTCGATAAAGAGCCTCCCTCTCTTTATTAGCTCTTGTCTTAGCTCTGGGTCGACTTCTACGACCCAGTGCTCTCTGTCCTTTAGGGCACCTCCCAGCTTGAATACCAGCTTCATTCTGGCCTTGAGATCATCCGCGCTTAGATGATCGAGGTTTTGGGCCCTTATGCACCCATAAACTTCCTCGTTGAAGTTTGCCTCTCTTCTTTTGGCATCCTCGCTTAATGCCTCTCGACCTTTGGTTGTGGTCTTCCCCTCGTGCCCGATGTCATAGATGATCATCCTGGTTTTCCTTAGTCGGGGGACTTCAACTTTGAACCCTTTCTTTTTAAGGGTCTCTGACTGAACTATCTTGTCTAGATTCGCTTTATCTGTTGTTTCGATGAGCACTTTCTTGTTGCTGTTCGTCTTGCGGATATTCACTATCTGCCATTTCTCCTCCTTGATGTTCACGGAGTTGGCTAACCGCTTTTTTATCTCGGTGCTCTCAGCTTTGGGGTCCGCAACCGTTATTAGTGCGACATTTCTGGTTCTCTGAGCAGTGTGGGCAGGATCCTTGAGGACCTGCGCGTATTCCTCTCTTGGAGCTACCCTTTGCTCCGTTAAAGCATCGATCTTAGCAAGGATGCCATTCATCGCCTGGTCCATCTTAGTCTGGTAGGCTTTGAATGACTCCTGCGTCTCCTGTAGCCTTTCTGCTACGTTCTGCTGATCGCCCTCTTGTTTTTGTTCTAGATTTTCTAGAACCTTATTCAGTTCGCTGGTTGTTACTTCACAAACCTTTGTGAAGTAATTCTGAATCTGGGGTCCAGCCTTCTCCGAGACATTCTTCTTTTTTTTGGAGGTGAACTTATATATTTCACTCTCCACTACCTTGACTTCTGCAAACCATCTCAGTAAATCATTCCTGATTTCCTCAGTGGTTGAAATCTTCCCATTCTCGACTTCGACTTTATCAACGTCTTCCTTCTCTCCTCTCTTGCCTCTCTTCCTTGTCTCCTCTCCTTCTTTTGTGTTTTTGATTGTTTTCTCCATGTAATGTTTATCCCACTACACGCATGGCTAACCGCCGGGGTATACCCCCATCCCACAGCTACCAACTGTGAGAGTCTCGGAGTTCCGTCCAAGAACCGGTATATACGCTCTCTTCACGGGGAAATGCTCAACCCGCTTTTATAGCGTTCCTGGGTTCTACTACTTTCGCCTCGAACCTCCTATGTCTCCGACACATAGGCACCAATACGTGTGCTTGCCAGGCGGGGTGCTCCACGGACACATGTAGGATAGAAGCCGCAGCCTTCCATCCCCATCCATGCCGTATCGCAAGCTCGTTTTTCCAAGACCAATCATTCTGTGTGTATTGCTGCAGTACCTCCCCTCCCTTATACCTCTCTCCCGACGGGGACGTAATGGCAGGCACTTGGGTATCACAGGGTCTCTCCCTCCACTTGGTGGAGTTGGTTCCTGTGAGCCCTTATGAGAGCCCGTCGCTGGGGACAGCATCCTTTTGGATCCCTTAGGCTCACGGTTCCGCTCCGGCAGTTTCGCCCCAGATGTTCATCATAGTGTCGTATGCCGCCGAACCCTTCCTGTATCCGACCGACTCGTCAGATCCCGGGGTTGGCGCATCACCCGACGTGACGCCACTCTTCCTCTGAGGCGGACTCTCTTTGGTTGGCGGAATCTTGACAAACAGGAATGAATCCAATTTCTCGTTCCATTTGGATTTTTTTGATGGTGATTTATCTTCACTCATGTTTCCAATTTTCCTCACCTACCTCTTTGGCGGACACGTGTTCAGCTGGCTGTTTTCTATACCGCTGACCTACTTCAGGCCTCGTGGCAGCCACGTGCTTTCCTAACCTCTCGCGGTAGCCACGCGGTCTCCCCTCCTAGCCAGCGACAGCTGTGACCTACTTAGGGCTTCGTGGCAACCACGTGCTTTCCTAACCTCACGCGGTCTCCTATCTTCCGGAGCAACAGCTGCTGACCTAATCAAGGCCTCTTGGCGACCACGAGCTCTTCTAACCTTACACCGCAACGTGGTCGACTAACCTTGTCTCTCCACGCGGTCGACTAACCTCTTCTTTCCTCGTGGCGACCACGTGCTCTACTAACCTTTTCACTACCGCTACCACGTGCTTTCCTAACCTTGCGGTTCCTCTGCCTCGTGGTCCCAGCAATGATCTTCTTAAATCTGCTTTTTTCCCTTCAATCCCGAGAAGTATCACAGTTGTAACACCAGCCTCCGCTTTAACAAACACACAAATTGTATTTCCACCGCTTTTCTGCACTAATACAACTTGTTCTCTCCCGAGTTACGCGCACCTACTAAAACACGTCCTACTCGGTCGATAGCCAGGAGTTTACTCTCCCCCATCTATCCAACCTTTTTTTTTTTTTTTTTTTTTTTTTTTTTTTTTTTTTTTTTTCCCCTACCTGGCCATTTCTGGCATACGGGGTTCGGTGACAGTAGGGTAGTGCACATGGGATTTGCGCATGCCACTGCCACCAATAAACTCTTCTTTTTTTTTTTTTTTTTACTCTTTATTTATATGTTTATATTTATACATGCTTTTGGATATTTATATTTTTGGGGACAATATAGGGTATCTGTGGTGCAGCCCAGCGTGCGGTTGCACGCTTTAGGAAGGGACTGCACCTTCTCTTTCTTCTTCTTCTTCCTCCGTCGCTTCCTCTACGGCTTCCGGCGGGCGTCCTCTCCCAAGGGTGAAGTGCTCCGGGCCCACCGCCTCCTTCCATCTCCTGATGTACTCGGTGAAGTAGGGGTAGAAGTCCTCGCTCATCAGCCTCGGTAAGTCCGCCTCTTCCATCGCATATAGCCCTGTCATCCTTGATAGCCAAGCTCTGTGCCCAGCCATCTTTTCGCAGCTCAGGACTACATGCTCCGCCGTGTCCGGAATCCCACAAGTGGGGCACAAGGGGTTGATGTTCTTCCCATGCTTGTTCAGCTTGGCTCTGAAACCCCCGTGCCCCGTAAGGATCTGAGACGTCCAGTAGTCAGGTCTCACCCACTTCGCCTCCATTCTGGAACTGACGGTGGGGAAATACTTCCTGAGGGTAGAACCCTTTTCGCTTCTCACCCACCGCTCGTTCCACTCCCGAAGTGAGTCCTCCTCCACCAGCCTCTTCCATCTTCCTGGCTCCTCCTCAGCCCTTTGCCGTAATCCCTCCGGAAGCGAACCGAGTCCGTGTCTTTTGACATCGAACCTGATTACGTCTTCCTTTAGGATCAGGTCAATGGGCATCTCTCCAGCCAGTATCTGGACCGCCTCGTGCGACACCGTCCTGTAAGCTTTTGTTACTCTCAGCAGGGCCAGTCTCTGTGTGGTTGCCAGCTTTCCACGCTGCTCTTTTGTCAGCCGCCGACTCCACGCAGGCGATGCGTACCTAATTATACCTAATACTACTCCTTTGTAGATTGTTCTGGTCGCTGGGTACTTGACCCCCCAGAACGCACTACCTATCCTCGACAGGCCATTTAGTGTGGTGGTCACCCTTCCTCTCAGGTACGCGATGTGTGGGCTGGGGTCGAATGATCTTCTGAACCTCACCCCTAGGTACGTTACCTCCTCACACGCGCGCACCCTCGCTCCACCTATGTCTAGGTTGATTGGGTGGGCTCTGTCGGTTTTCCCCTTCAGCAGCATCGCCTGTGTCTTCTCAGCCGCCATCCTCAGCTTCCTCTTCTGGCACCACTCCTCTACTAGGATGGCCAGTCCTTCGGCTTCCTCCTTCACTCTGGCCCTGCTGTTTGCCGTCACCAGCACCGCCAGGTCATCCACGTATGCAATGGCTCGGTACCCCTTCTCCTCCAACTCGCCAAGCAACTGATCAAAAACTAGTTTCCACAGTGCTGGCCCGAGTACCGAGCCCTGCGGGCACCCTCTCTCCATCCCCCTCTCCACCTCGAAGGAGTTACCCCGGATCTTCACTCTCCTATCCTTGAGGTAACTGCCCACGAGGGAGTATAGATTGCTGGGGGCATCGTACTCTTGCAGCCTCTGCATCACAACGGGCCACCAGACGCTATCGAAGGCAGAAGATATGTCGAAGAGTATCAACAACGCATACTTCTCCTCCGCGTCTTCGACGTCCCGCTTCATCTGCATCAGCGCATCCGCCGTGCCCTTCCCTTTCGTGGAACCGAACTGCCGAGGATGACCCGCCACGCGCAGCACCGGTTTCATCCTCTCCATTATCAAGTGCTCCAGGACTTTGCTGATCACCGGGAGGAGGCATATGGGCCTGTAGGCCTTAGGTTGTTCTTTATCTTTACCTCCCCCTTTGTACAGCAATCTGAGGTCCGCTTCCTTCCATTGATACGGAAAGTGCCCTCTGTCCAGGCACAGGTTGCATATGGCCAGAAGTTCGTCCTCTATTTGAGGCGCACTGTTCCTCAAGATCGCTGCATCGATCTCATCGAGTCCCGGAGCCCTTCCTACCTTCTGCTTCTCTATCGCCAGACGGAGGTCCCAGATGTCCCACGGCTCGCACAGGTCCGTTCCGGGAGGATACTCCGTAGTCCTTCTGATCATCCGGTCCTCCTCCGTGTCCAGGGTCGGATCGTCCCTGGGGTACGTATGATCAACGTACATGGCCACCGCCTCTTCCAAGGTTTCAGCCTGTCTACCGCCCACTCTCATGGCAGCCATGAGTTGGGCTGGCTTCACCTTGTCGAGTGCGACCCTGTACGGTATCCCCCAAGGATTTTTCTCCGTTTCCCTTTCAACGAATTCGTCCCAGGATGACTTCTTTCGCTGGCGCATCTCCTTGCGGTATTCTTTGAGCGTGCGCCTGCTTTCCAGTCGGAGCACCTCTCTTCTCTCCTCGTTCCTGCAGCCTTGGCACCTCCGCCTAGCCCGGTGATATTCCCGTTTCAGCGCCGTCAAGGTCGGCGTCCACCACGGCACTGGTCTCTCCCTCACCTTCCTCCTCCGAAGGGAGGCCTCTGCCGCGTCTCTCATGGCGCCTGTCAGCACGTTTATCCTGTTCTCGATACCGCGCGCTTCGTCATCTTCTGGCGGTTCCTCCCACTCCCTGTCCACCAGGATGTCCTCCAGCGCTCCACGGTACCGAGCCCAGTCCGCCGACCTTGTGACGTATCCACGCTCCCCTTCCGCTCGTCTCTCCTCTTTTCTTCTCACAACATCGAGCATGATGGTCCCATGGTCCGAGCTCGTATCAGACCTGAGGCCCCAGTTTGCCACTCGTCTCATCATTGGAGCTGAGGCCAGCGTTATGTCAATCCAGCTTTGTCCCCTGGGTCCCACAAACGTGGGCTCGCCAGGTTCATTCACTACTATCAGCTGGCATCTGGCTATGCTGTCCTCGAGCTTCATTCCTCTTCTATCGGTGACTTCTGAGCCCCAGGCCGTGCTCCACGAATTCGTGTCGGCGCATATCAGCACGTTACCGTACTGCTGCGCCACGGCCTCCATGTGCTCGATGTTTCCCTCAATGTCATCTTTCGGCGGCATATAGGCGGACAGAAGGGCAAAAGCTGCGTCTCCCCATCTAATCCAGCATGCCGCTTGGTCCGCCGTCGTATGCTGCTTCATCTCCATGACATCCAGTGAGGGGTTGAGGATTACTATCGCTGCCCTAGGCCTCCTCTCTCCACTGCTTTGGGCAACGACCCTTGCCGCCATCCCGAACCCGGTCACCTGGTTGTTTTTACAACAAGGCTCCTGTACTGCAAGCAGATCAAATCTCGCGGTTTGGGCCCTCAGCTCATCCGCCACCACCCTCCTCCGCGCCATGTTGATCTGCCCGATCCTCAGTTTAGTCATAATTAGTTCTCTTAGCCAGGAGTCTCATCTCACTCAGGTGTACCGGGCACTCCCTGCTTCCAGCGCAGTGCTTCAATTCGCTCTTCTTTCCACTCCTCTTGCAGTTCCTGCATTCCGGGGGCAGGCTTCTCTTTGGGCACTCCTTGTGGATGTGTCCCTCCTCACCACACCATCTGCAGGTCAACTGGTCCTTGCAATGGGCTTTGGTATGACCGTACCCTTGACACTTCAGGCACAGAGGGGGATCGATGTAGTCCCTCACTTGGAGGTTCCACCATCCCCCGCTGATACTGTCTAACAGCAATATTGCCATCCTCGTCCTCGGGTGAACCTCGAGTACCCAGGTCCTCTTGAGCCCGCTCCTCTCCCAGTTGGAGAAACATGCTCTCATCCAGTCCTGGGCACCTTGCGCCGGTCTCTCAAATCCCCTAGTCGCCAGCTTCTCCCAAATTACCTGCTCCAGCATCTCAGCTGACCACTCGGAAGGCACCCGCATTATTTCTAATCGGGGCTTCCTTTTGTTGGCCAGCTGTGCCGTCAGGCCTTTTTCCCGGAGCCTGTCCCACCCTATGAGCCTCTTGGCTTCTTCTGGGCCCTTTGTTCTTACGAGGACGTCCTTCTTATACGTGACCTTAACCACGTCGACGTCCATCTGGGCCTCTCCCCTTATGTCTTCGGGGAGCAATTTCCATATGTCCCTCGGGTTC